AACGGATGGTGAGGGGGCTGACATCAGCTAGCCGTTTTGACCTCCAATCAATCCATGGTTCATGGTGTTCCAACCATGCCATTCCTAGGATCAGGTCATACCTTGCATCCAAGGCTAAGGCTGGACAGCGTTCTACGCTATCAAAGTTAAGAAACTTGACTCCGAGGTCCACAGGGACCTTCGAGACCGTGACACGCGTCCCCGTCGCTAGCCGAACAGTGACGATGTCAGCCAACCGCACTTTCAGCGTCTCAGCATACAGCTGACTTCCTTCCATCCTGGAACGTCGAGCATATTTGCCTGACGCCCCGGAATCGATGAGGATCTTCCATGGCTTCTCGAAGCCCTTTACGGCCACCTCCACGACCAGCAAGCCCGGCTTGCATACACGTATCGTGCTCAAGAGCACGGAGCTCTTCGGGGCCAGGCCCTGTTGACCTCTACCTCCCTGAGGCTCAACAGAACTCAATTCTTCCCCAGTAGGTCGCTCCGCGCCTACTGGGTGGTGTCGTTTCCCCGCGACGAACCAGACTGGTAGGCATTTGGGCGATGGTTTGAAGAACCTTGACGCGCCTTGCGCAGGGGGCAACCGTTCCGAAGGTGACGGGTGTCTCCACAGACAAAACACCGTCGTGTAAGTGTGTGCAGATCGGCAGCCAAGAGCTCTGCTTCCTTGTCCTCAACATAGCTGAGATCCATGGGCACAGACCTGCTCGACGGGCTGTTGGAGTGTGCATTCCAGCCAAGTCGTGCCGACTTGAAATTGAATTCAGTATTCAATTACACATTCACCACCTCTCCAAACGCAGACGGATGCACACGGAAGACTTCTATTCTGGCCACACCAGTGCGGAGGCCTTCCATAAAGACGGTCACTGTGCAGATCGGCAGCCAAGAGCTCTGCTCCCTTGTCCTCAACATAGCTGAGATTCATGTGCACAGACCTACTCGACGGGCTGTTGGAGTGTGCATTCCAACCAAGTCGTGCCGACTTGAAATTGAATTCAGCATTCAATGCCACATTCACCACCTCTCCAAACGAAGACGGATGCACACGGAAGACTTCCATTCTGGCCACACCAGTGCGGAGGCCTTCCA